GGGATGGGGATGCGGACGCGCCACCCAGCACCGCAGGCAGCAGCGGGGTCTCCGTCTGTTGTTGCGGTTTTCCTGGGTGTTAGGCAGCCGAGCGACCCGGGGGATCTCGTTATCCCCGTCACCTCGGGTCAGTTGGCATCGGGCGCCTTGGCCGAGCGGATGGAGATGTGCCAGAGTCAGGCATTGCAGCCCTGGCAGCTCCAGGAGCCCGGGGGGCAGAGGGAACCGGCTCACGTGTGGTAGGAGTGCCTCACAAGACTTCTATCCAGTGTGTGGCACTGAGCGATGCACCTGGCCCACGCTGAGGCTGGGGAGCCAGGAGTGCCACCTCAGCTGTCACCAGGGGAGAGAATGGCAGGGATTCCTTGGCATTTCAGCTCACTGAACAAGGAGAGAGGCTGCTGGCTGCAGAGCTGTGATGCTCTGTGCCCCTGTGATGCTGTGTGCCCTTGTGGTGCTGTGTGCCAAATCCATAAAGACATCCGAGGGTTGTGAAGCTGGGATGTTTGTGGGGAGAAGGAGGCAAAGGAGAGGGAGGAACAGGACCAAGCTCAGATAAAATTTGTTAGGGATTTTTTTTTTTTCCCAGAGCTGGGAGGGGAAATTGCTTCATCATGAAATCACTAGACTGTGCCCAGAGAAACAAGACTCAGAGGAAGGAAAATAACTAGGAGGAGGTTCCCATTTCTAGATCTGGGTTTGTTTCTGTAGCAGAATATGAGTTTGGTTTATGTCTCAGTAACCCTCTCATGTGGAAACACTTGCTCAGGGCATGTGTCCAGTCACTGGTACTAAACTTTTGACACCTTGTCTAAGAAACACCACACATTTTAGGAAATTTTTTTGGAAAATCCCATTTCCATTCATCTTGCAGGGACAGATCAGACTCGGATCTTTCAAAATCTCCATCACGCGATTTCAGTTTGGGCTGTCATTGAGCTAGTGCATATGGTAAATGTAATTAAATAAGGGGGAGAAGCACTAACATCCCTGCCAAATGTGGCTGGAGGCTTAAGTTCTGGCACAGGAGCCTGGTGAACCTTCTCCAGCTCTTTCTTTCGTGCAGCTTGGGGCTGGGGAATTGAGCAGGCCGGCCTGGCTGGCTGGCCACGGCGGGGAGTGTCAGTGCAGCCCAGCCAGCAGCTCTGGCGCGGGGCCTCGCTCGTGTCCTGAGGGGTCCAGCCCGCACCACCCAGCCGAGTTTATCCATTTAGCTTTTTCCTCCACAGAAGGCACCGTTAAAGAGCTGCTGGCTGAAAGAGTGGCATTTAAAGGTAGAGGAGGGAGAGAGAGAAAACAAAAAAAGGGTTCGCTTTGCCAGGAGCATCCCACATGCGTACATAGCGAGTTGCAGGGACATCTCCCCTTGAGCTGTTAATGGTAGCCTGTGCTAACTTCTACCTTTGCTTCCAAAACCTGTGAGCCTCTTGGCCACCCAGGTCTCATTTTAACCCTTCCCTGACCCCCAAAGGGCAGGTTCAGTGGTGAGCCCTGTGCTGTCTAGCAGGGAGATCACCTCTGGCCATAGCACAGGCCCCAGGTGGTTTGGCTGACAGCTGCCCCGTGACCCCGTTATTTATTAGCGCCAAACAAAGGCCCCCAGAGCCACCATGACAAACCGATTCAGCCGAACCCGCAGCGTGCAGCGGGAAGGTATAAAACGTATAAATCTGTCATGCATGGACCTCCCATGTGCTAGTCCAAGGGCAGTGGGACCCAGGTGGAGCCTGCTTTTCCTCCCGTCTCCCGGGGAGCGGAGCCATCCATGGATCTGCTGAGGGGAGCAGCTGCTGCGGCAGACCAGGGACCCCACGCACACGCAGGACTTCACTGCGGCTTGCGAGCTGGCATCCCCAGCTGCTGCCCCTCAGTCCCTGGCTGCCTCCTCTCCTGCTTGTTCACTTCATCTCTCCTCCACATCATTCCTGCTCTGCTTTCTGCCACCTCCTCTTCAGCGTGGCCCCTCTGCTCCTCAGAGCTGTCCACAAAGCAGGTCCCTGGGCCACCCTCCATGCCCAGGTGTAGGCCCTGCTGCCCCAGCACTTCTGCTGGGCACAGAGGTGAAGGCTGGCACCAAAGCCACGGCTGGGGCACTGTGGGCTCACAGACCGGAGACTTCCAGCTCATTTCCAAGTAGTGGAGTGTTTTTTCTGGTTTTCTACCCCAGTTTCCAACTGAGTCATGCTCAAAAATTCAAGAGCGGTTGGTTGTGCTGAGAAGTTATGTGGTAATTGGTCTATGGTTGTTGGCCTGTGTCTGTGTCCAAGGAAGTGCTGTCACAATGGAGCATGAGAGGAAGGTATGAGGAGCACTTGCTCCATCTACGGGAACAGTCCAGGGTGTCTAAGAACTGGGCTTCAGGGAGGCTTTGGTTTTGGCAACTTCCTTTGGCTTGTGTTCCTCTTAAAAGGGGATGTTGGGCCATGTGGGCACTGCTTTTGGTTTGTTTTTAAGAGTTGAGAGAAGTTCAGGGGATTTTTTAGGAAAAAAAAAAATCCGGTCTTTGTTCTGATTACAGAGCTTAGGAGCACACACGTTATATTGAAACATAGATGTCCCACTGTTATCTGTGTGAACATGGGGTTTAATAAGGAGATGCCATTTTCACCCAAGCCCAGCAGAAACAAACCTACTTTATGAGAGGTTTATCATTCCCCATCCTTGGCTGGGACTGCTGCTTGACCCCAAGAGCAATTACGTTTTCAGCTGTTACGGGAACCTGATCTGGAATTCCTGTTGTTTATAACACTCACACATACATGCTCTTTTTCCATCAAGAAGTTACTGTAAACTCCTTTCTTAATGCAGGAAAGACAGACCCCAACACCTCCCTCCAAGTAGAGGAAGATGGATATAGTGTCAGGCTCAATTAGATCCAATTGTGGTGGCTTTCCCTAAAGCGAACAATGCAGCTTTTGTCAATGGACTCCCAGCAGAAAGCTTGGAAGTCTTGGAAGGGAGGGAATAGAACAGCACACGCCCCAAAGTCCAGACCCTGCGATAGTCCAGGTCCCTAGGATGCAGAGGAGATGGTGTTTCTTTTTAAGAGGGCTGGAGTCAGGCATTAGTTTCCCCTTTGAAATGCAGCAGTGCATGAAGAGGTGAGGTGGGTAGAGCTGGCAAGGAGAGTATGCCCAGTCCAGCCTGACCAAAGTAGCTGCGGAGGCAGGGCTGAGCAGGGCAGGCAGCTGCGGGCGCCCAGGGCATCTCCTCTGGGAGGGCATCCCACCTGGAGCAGCACCCAGCCAGGGCCGCTGGAGCGGGGAACAAAGTGGCCTGCTCAGCGCTGGAAGTGCTTAAAATGCAAATGTACAGGAACTTCAGACCATCCCCCTCCCTCCTCTTCGGCGCGGAGGAAAGCAGCTTAAATACAGCCAGGCCTGGAGAGGAATGTTAAAAAGAGGGGAAGAATCGCCCTCCTCCTTTCCATAGGGACTCGGGCCCGGCCAGATTGAGTATGCATGACTGAGCAAGCAAGCAAGGACAGCTCCTCTTTTAACTTTGCTGAACAATGGCTCTGCCTTCTTCCACCATTTCGCATTCCCCCTCCTTGGAGGCAGGAAGGGGGCAGCGGGCAGCGAGGCCGGCCGCCGGGCTGGGGGAGCGGGGCTTTGTGGCCGCGCTGTAAACAGCGCTCAGCTCCATCTCCGGCAACAATGGAGCGCCCCACGCCGGGGAGGCCACGGAGGGACCCGTCGGGTTAAAAGTCATAACGCGCAGGAGAAAGATTATGGTGGAGGACAAAGGACACCTTAGATTATTCAAACTTTTTTTTTTTTTTTTAACACGGTTCCACTTTTTGCTTTCTCTTTAATCTTTGGCTGGGCAGTGGAAATCAACTAAGATGTTTCAGATTTTCCAGGTCGGCAAGGGCGCAGATTTTTGGTGGTTGTCGCTGCTGGGAAATGTTTTTACTTGATGGGTCTTCCAGTTTAAATCACTAAAAAAATCCTCCAGCACGCAATTCATCTGGAGCTTAAAAAAACTGAGAAACACAGGCCTTGTTCCGCCCTCACAAATGCTGTCCTCTATCACCAAGTAGTCGGTTTCAGCACTTCAGGTTTGTGCGGCCTCAGACTCCGAACGGGTTTGTCCCCAGGGATGCTGCCAGCACCCTCGCGGCCACGGCTGGTCCTGCCAAGCCCCTTCCTTACGAACTCCTCCTGGCGATGTCCCCCGGCCTCCTGCACAGGAGGAGGCTCCTTGCCTTGCTTCTCCTCCTCCATCGCTCAGCAGAGCCAGCCCCAATCCAATCCCACCGTCAGCCACAAGCCCGACAGGTACACACATCTTCAATAAGTACAGACAACACAGATACGGCTTTTTTTTTTTTTTTTTTTTTCAAAAACATACTTCATATTTCCTCTTTTATTATATAAATATGTTTAACCTTTTACTGTAAGAATATAAAATGTTTTAAGAGGATCTTTGTTATTTTTTTTATACAAATTCACAAACAGTACAATTAATCCATAGGGGTCTCCGGGTTTGTGTTAACTCCGTGGTCTGGCCTGTTACTGTGGAGGATTTGAGATTTTGAACAGATAAGCAAAAAAAAAGCCAAGATACTTAAAAACAAACAAAAAAGAAATCAAAACAAAACCCAAACTTACTCTTCCTCTTTCAAATAATAATTAAAAAATAATCTAAAGACCCAGCTCCATTTTATTGACAGAACAGAGATAAGACAGATGAACTTCAGTCTCCTCCCCTTCACATGGCAGCCCTGGGGCCTGCAGGCCACTCTGCTCCTCTCCACCTACAAACAGGAAGCCTGGCATGGTGACCTTCTGTAGGTGGCTCAGGAGGGGAGGGGAAAGCACTTGCATATATCCATATATATATATAGAATTTTTTTTTAAACAAACTTGCATTTTACACATTTCTGTTAACAGTAGCCCAATCCTCGGTGTGGATTCTCACGTTACATATTTGTGCTAGAAGAGTAAAAATGCAGAAGCACAGTTTGGGTCCCCAGTTCCCAGTGAAGAGGGAGGGAGAGGCACAACCAGAATGTGGAGGTGGGACACAGTAGGGTAAGCCTAAAAACAAAAATGTAAAATTAAAAAAAAAAAAATTAAAAAAAGGGGTGGGGGAAGAGGAGGGGATAAAATAAGAACAAACCCAAGGGGCATTATTCCAGTCTAGGCACAAAAATGTTTCAGTCTCAAAATCTCTTTCCTGTAAGAATTCCAGGGCTTTTGAGGAGGAAAAAAAAAAAGTAACAAATTAAAACGAGGTAGCCAGACATCATATATATATTTATATATATAGAATATATTCAGCAGAAAAAAAAGTACTTAAAAATCCACAAGAACAGCAACTTCATATGTCTTTAAAAATAAAACCATGTAAGAAAATGAATACTGTAAAGGGGAGAATGAGTGAGGAAAACTGGGATCAATTACAGTATGTAAGCAAGGGCTAGATGGGAGAGTAAGAGGCTGTTTTTGTAGCAGTAATTTTTTTTATGCATTTCAAAATAAAAACAGGTCACAGTATCTCAAATGAAGCAGAAATGAAGCTGGAGATTCTTCCTCTTGACCCCCAGGTAGAGAGGAGCGAGAACTCCCTTCTACCTGCTCACCCCCAACCCAGAGAGGAATGGATATGTGGCTGGATATGTCTATCCCTGTTGCCAAGGAGGAGGAGGGGAGAAAAAGAGAGAATGATGAAAGGGAAGACAAGTCTCAGCAACTCTCAGAGTCCCCCAGTGCACAGGAAGGCTTAAGAGAGTGGGGTCTGTGTCCAGCCCCCACAGAGACAGGAGGAGGAGGAAATGGTGTTTTCATCTCCAGTGGAGAGATGGGGAGAGAGAATGGAGTGCCTGGACTTTTCCATTACCCATAGTGCAGGATGACATGGAAACATACTGACAAAAGGGGAGGCTGTAGCTATCGCTAGTCTCAGTGCAGTGGAGAACTGGAATAGTGGGAGGTTGTATCCACCCACAGCAGAGAATAACATGAAACTGGAGACTGAAGAGAGATTTAAAAGGGGGAAAAAAAAATCAATGTACCTAGGGAGCAGTATTTCTGTCACAAATGTGTTGACAGGGGAGGGGCAAGCACAGAGGTGGAATGGTGGTTTTATCCAAAGCTCTGTCTGTGCCCAGCACAGGATGACTGGGTGGCTGGGTACACAAGTGTAGCTAGGAAGCCTTTGCTGCTGTTAACTATTTTTTTGTTCCCATCTCCATTTCCACTCTCCCTTATATAAACCAAAAATAATCTATTCTGAATACATGGCAGAACAAGGGTCTTTCTTTATCCATCCTTAGTGCTTGAGGGGATGGAATGTGGGAGTGGGGACAAAGAGGGGTGTCTCTAGCCCCAGTGCATAAGTGTGGGTTTCTACCTCTTCCGCAGGGAAGGATGCTGTGGGAAGGGAGAGAGCTCTGTCTCCCTAGCACGGAGCTTGAGGCGTGACCTGGAAAATGGATAGGTGCTTTCTCTCTGTCCTCCTGGTCCCCCTTCCTCCTCCTCCACAGCAAGGACAGGCAGGCAGCACAGAAGGGTCGAGGGTATATCCCTCTTTCTCTGTGTTCCTCCCTGTGGTGCCAGAGTGCGTGGGTAGCATGTCTGTGTGCATGCCCCTCTCTCTTTCTCTCCTCCTCTGCAGCAGTCAGTCAGTCAGTCAGTCAGTGAGTCCCTCCAGAGGAGATGGAGGTCTCGGGGCACCCTCCTCCTCCTCTCACCTGACCTTCTCACTCTCAGTCATTTCCCAAAGTCCCAGGTTGAGCACCTTGAGGCAGGGCAGCTGGGTGATGCGCTCCAGGCCCCGCTTGGTGATGCGGGTGCAGCCGTAGAGGTCGATGCCCGTGAGCTGGCTGAGGTGCTCGGCGATGAGCTCCAGGCCCTTGTCGGTGATGCGGACGCACTGGCCGATGTTGAGGGTGCGCAGCCCGTGCATCTGCCGCACCATGCGGTTGATGCCCTCGTCGCTGATGTGGCAGGAGCAGAGGGACAGCGAGCGCAGCCCGTCGAGGCCCTGCGCGATGTAGGCTAGGCTCTGGTCCCCCACCTTGTCACAGAAGGAGACGTCGAGGCCGGACAGCCGCAGGCTGCCCATGGCCAGGTGCATGATGCCCGTGTCGCTGATGTTGTCGCAGGAGCGCAGGTTGAGGCTCCGCAGGCTGCTCATGTGCGACAGGTGCAGCAGCCCCGCGTCCGAGATGCCCCCGCAGAAGCTGAGGTTGAGCTGGCGGAGGCGGCCCAGCCCGCGGGCCAGGTGCTTGAGCGAGAGGTCGCTGAGCTTCTGGCAGTCCTGCAGCGTGAGCTGCTCCAGGCCCAGGCAGCCCTCGGCCGCGCTGCGGGTCATGCCCGCCAGGTGCCCGATGCCCACGTCGGAGAGGTGCCGGCAGGAGCGCAGGTTGAGGCTCTTGAGGCGCTGCAGGCCCCAGGCGATGAGCAGGAGGCCGGTGTTGGTGATGTTGCTGCAGCCTCCGAGCTCGAGCACCTCCAGGCCCTTGAGGTACTGGGCGATGCGGCCCAGGCTGCTGTCCGTGATCTGCTTGCAGAGGCTCAGGTTGAGCGAGCGCAGGGAGCTGATCTCCGCCACGAAGGCGTGGCTCAGCCCGTTGTCGGTGAGGTTGTAGCAGCCGCTGAGGTTGAGGCTCTCGATGTCCGCCATGCCCTGGACCACGTAGCTCAGGCTGCGCCGCAGCGACAGGATCTGCACCCGCCGGATGCCCCGCGCCGCCAGGCTGGGGAAGAGCGAGGGGTTGGCGCGGCGCAGGTGCAGCTTGGCCTCCACGCCCCGCCACACCGAGCGGTGGTAGGCGGCGTCCCGCCAGGCCGTGCACACCTGCGCCGCGCGGCCCTTGTCGCGCACCTCCAGGTACCCGAAGATCATGGCGAGCAGCTCGGGGAACAGGCACGAGATGTGCGTTTCCATCGCACGCACGCCCGCCCGCGCCCGGCCGCCCCCGCCGGCGCCGCGCCCGCGGGAGGGGGGGAGGCGCGGCCAGGCGCGGGGGGAGGAGGCAGCCGGGCAGGAGGCGGCGCCGCGCCGGGCCTGTTTCCCCTCCCGCCCCCACCCGCGCCGCTTGCGCAATGGTACGGTCCGGAACACGGCGAGCCGTCGCCCTGGAAACAGCGCGGGGCGCCGCGGCCGCCGGGCTGCGCTGCCCCGCGCCGCCGCCGGGGGCGCCACCGGGACCGGCCCGAGAGCCTTATCTGCCACCGGGACCGGCCCGAGAGCCTTATCTGCCACCGGGACCGGCCCGGGGCCTCAGCCGGCACCGGGACCCGGCCCGAGGGGTCTCAGCGGTCACCGGGGCCACCCCCGGCCCCAGCACATGGCACACGGTGGCATCCAGACGGCTCTCGAGTGTACAGAGGGGGACACCACAGGCTCTCTGGGCAGTCTGGTGCAGTGCGTGGCACCCACATAGGAAGAGTTATTCCCTGTGCACTTTCCGTGCATCGGTTTGTACCTGTCGACTCTTGTCTCTTGTCCTCCCACCTGCCCTTGGTGTGACTCTCTAGTACTGGGGAGCCCAAAACTGGATGCAGTACACCAGGGCTGAGGAGAGGGGCAGGATCAGTGCCCTCGACCTGCTGGCAGTGCTTTTCCTGATGCGTTACTAATCCTAATTCTTGCCCTGCTTCCTGCCCTGGCGGTGGGTGCTGTGCTGTCACCCGTGGGTGACAGGTCCCCAGCAGGGCAGGGGTGGTGGGGCTGCAGAGAGCAGCACTGCTGCACAGAGTCACAGACTCAGTTAGGTTGGAAAAGAGCTCTGAGATCATCGAGCCCAACCTGTGACCAAACACCACCATGGCACTGAATGCCACATCCAGTCTTCCTTAAACACCTCCAGGGACAGTGACTCCACCACCTCCCTAGGCAGCTGTTCCAATGTCTAATCACCTTTCTGTGAAGAAATTCTTCCTAATGTCCAACCCAAATCTGCCCTGGCGCAGCTGGAGACTCCAGCTCAGTACTGTGCTCCAGCCAGCCCCTCGCTTCACCCCGGAATCTGCCACTGGGCCACCTCTGCACCGAGGTTTGCCGAGGCCATGCTGGGCTGGCTGGCAGCTCCTCGAGCTCTGTGGGAGCCCCATGAGGAGGGACAGGGGTTTGTGCAGCTGTGGAAAGCAGCAAAGAGAAGGTGGATGGCTGCCTCACCCTTGCCAGCTGCTGTGGCTGCAGCATGACCCTGAGGCAGTGTGACAGCCTGGAGGAGCAGAGTTTGGGAAGCCTCTGTCCAGGCATGCCTGCAGGAGTGATAGGACAGGGCTGGGAACAGCTCAGAGCTCTGGGTAGCTGTCAAGGTTGCTGTACATCTCTGCACGGACTGTTTTAGGGCCTCTGTAATGGGAAATAGGAAATCTTCTGAAAATGGCTTTCAGCTAATGACCTCTTTGAACTAGCTCTGGAAATTGTTGAGGTACTGAAATAAACCAAGCAATTTCTAGTGACTTCCATCAATTTCAAGAAAGAATGTTTGAAAACCATGTTTCCTAAGTGTCTGTAGCCTTGTGTAATGGTACCCGTGTACATCTCAACACTGGGCAGTATTGCAGCAGTGTTAAAAACAGCTTAAATTCTACCAGAGATCAGGTAAGGCTTTTCAAAACAGTTTCAGAAGAGCAGGACTACCCTTTCTTTGTAAAGAAAAAGTTTGCATTCGTTCAACATGACAGGGTGTCTTTTTAATACTGTCTGGATTGCTAAAATACTGCACAAATCAGCCTAGTTACTGGTGTGTTTGCTGTACTGATGCCTTCACTAACCTGAAGGAGAAGGCTCTATTTTAATCACCATTTAAATTTATCTGCTACAGAAGCAGTCATGGTTCTGCCTTCATGTGCAGATTCCATATTAGTAGATTGCAGATTCCAGATTGGTAGATGTTGACTACTTAGAGGTTAAACGTTTAGGTTTCACTCTGCTTTTTTCCTTCCTTTTTGCTTTAAGTTGGAGGCAAGGCGAGTTGAAGGACTCTGAGGCCCTGATCCTGCACTGAGTTCCCCATGCATATAAACATCACTATCAACATTTGGCTGTGGTTTGGCAGAGCAACAAAAGCCAGCAGTGCAGCTCCTATTATTGGCTCCAAAACGGGGCGGCCACATGATGTGAAGCGCTGACCTGGTATTCATTCACCCTGCCTGCTCGAGTTAATTCAAGAAGTTTTTGACAGGTTAACTTTTTACTAGCAGACTTTATGCCGGCTCAGGTGTCACTGTGCTCAGCTCCAGCCAGATCAGGTATCGTCTGCACCCCTGTGCCTGGCACGTGGCCACAGCAGGATTGGTGTTGGCCCTGCATCCTGGCTCGTTCAGCAGCAGCCTGATCACATGCCTTGGCCTGATCCCGATGAAATTTGTACTCCTGGGTGATCCAGCAATGCACAGACCTGGTTTTAGTGATTGTGGAGCCGCAGTCGCACTCAGGAGCTGTGCTGGGGTGTTGCCCAGTATGAATTACCTTTGTAGGATTATTTTTGCAGTTTGTGCTGTTGGGAGGTTGGTTAACCATCGGGTTAATAAGCAAAAGATTAGGGGTGATAGGTTTTTTTTTCTCTGCAGATCAGCTGTGCTCAGGTCAGTTGTAGAGCATCACAACCAAAATGGAGAATTTCCATGGAGTGAGGAGCAGGTGAAAGGTGTGGCATCTCACGGGCCTGTCGTGGCAGGGATTCCTTGTCTGGAGGCAGTGGGATCGCTCACAAGAGGGCTGAGTCCCGTAGACATCAGGCAATGTGTGAAGGAAATGTGGCACAGAAGTGTCTCAGTGATTGTTGCATTACTCATAACTGGCAAAGCTACAAGCAAGTTCTACAAGTCATTCTCAAAGAGTGCTAATGAAGGCTTTCACCGTATTATCCCAAACTCAGCTGCAGAGTCTTACCGTGGAAATAATGTGGAATTTCCTCTCCCTGAGCCTTTCAAACCACATTTGAAGGGGAGTAGAAAAAGGTGTGCTCTTCGGGGCAGAAAAGCTTACCTGAAATACTTTTTTCTTTGCATCTTGGCACATTGTGTCTGTAATGCCTCCTGTGTGTAGCCAGCAGAAGTTAGATATTGATGATGCATTTTCTGGAGACTCTGAAGTTCTCTTTCTCACGTGTTATATTCTTAGACCATCTGTCCTTCTTTGTGAGCAGTTAAGGTTTACATGTTGAGTGGAACAGCCTGGAATTTGGATTTGTAATCCTAATCTACTGTAGTGTTGATCTGGGGGAGAGGAAGGCACAGTAGTTACTATTCTAGCAGATTTTTATTTCTCATTCTAAGTGACAGATGTGTGGAAATAGAGGTTTAGAAAGACAAAGTACAAAGTGCATTAAAAGGGCCAATTTATCACACGGTTGTTGGGTTGACTTTGTGTTTCCAGGAGTAAAGGAATATGTGCCATGTTTTTCATGATCTCATGTGGTATAAATAGGAGGTGGTAATCACCGTGTGATAAACTGCATTTTATTAAAAATCCCTGCCTGTCTCTCATGCACTCTGATGGCTGCTCCATCCCCCTGGAGCCATCTCTAGCGTTCCAGCTCCTCGAGCAGCTCCTGACAGCCATGCTCTCTTTTAGAAAGCACTTGCCAGATAAATGCTTCATTTTTTTCCCTCCAGTTACCCCGGTATTCAGTGGAGGCTGTACAGTTTTGCTTGGCAGGGGTTCAGGAGGATTCACATAACTCACTCGTGGCTTCTGTGATTGGAAGCAGCTCGTGCTGATAGAGCTGCACTGTTGTCTCTCCTGCATCTTTTATTGCATGGTTGGGCATAGCACCCACCAGGTCTCTCTCCAGCTCCCATCTCAGCCTGGCCTTGTTTGTTACTTTTGCCTGTCAGTTGGCAGGGTAACTTTTGGCTCAAATCAGTCATTTAAGAGATAACAGAGTCCTTCCTTATCCTTACTTTTCTTCTGCCAACCTACTCCATGTGCTTTCTGCATTTTCACAGCTTCAGCTGCAGAATGAAAAATTTGTGAATTTACCCACAGGAATCTTTTTAGCCTTTGGCTTTTTTTTTTTTTTGCCTCTGGGCAATGGCCATTGGGACTGCAGGACAGAAGTGATGCAAAAACACTTGGACAGTAAAGCCCATGCCCAGCTAACCCTCTTCTCTCTCTTTTGATCCATTTAAACTTAGATGCAGCCACACTCCATGGGGCTACAGTTGTCCTTCACAAGTTGGCTTCCAGACCTCCTTCATCAGATTTGAAGCATGACCACAAAAATCAACCAAGTTTGATACAACCCATGGTGTTAAGCTGGGTTTAAACTTGGTTTAGTGGAGCTTCTTCAAATTCAACTTGGGGAATGTTTTTTTGTGTGTGAATGAAATCAAAAGGGTCCTTTTGGGACTGTTGCAATAGGACAGTAGTTAATGGTTTTAAACTAAGGGAGAGTCAGTTTAGACTGGATACAAGTTTTTTACTGAGGCTGGTGAAACACTGACACAGGGTGCCCAGAGAGGTGGTGGCTGCTGCATTCCTGGAAACATTAAAAGTCAGGTTGGACAGGACTCTGAGCAACCTGGTCTAGTTGAAGATGTCCCTGGTCATTGCAGGGGGTTGGACTAGGTGGCCTTTCAAGGTCCCTTCCAAACCAAAATTTTCAATGATTCTGTGATTTTGTGTTGCATGTGTGCATGCACACACACATATATATAAATCAGCATAGGGTGTTCAGTGAATGGATTCCCTTTGGAATTAATGCTGGTTTTTCATTTTCATCTTTGTGATCTTCCATTTTTTGATCAGAGAATATAAAGAAAATGTAACTGATCAGAAGGTTTTTTGGAAATTATAATACTGGGATCCTTTTGCCTGTTGAGCTTTGTTGTGAAGACTAGGTCACTATGAAGCTTTCCTTAAAAAAACAAAGTGGGTTTTTGTACTTTGCAGGCTTCGTTTCTCTAATAGGTGCTACATGAGGATGTATTTTAGGGTGATGCGGTTTGTCCTGCACAAAGGAATTCTCAGGTGGTTTATTCAAAATACAATGTAGTG